AAAAGTTGAATAGTAGACTTGATCCAAGGGTGATAGAATCAAGGGGCTTGGCAGGAAAGGTCAGGAGGAGAGAAGCGTGCCAAGGTTACAGGCAGACTAAAGTAGCCTCCCTTCAGCCAAGGGAGGGGCTACGAGAAAAAGGGGCGGTGCATATATATTAAAAAGAACAGGAAAAGTGTATTAGGTGGGCTAAAACTACCAATATCCACTACCTTTCACTTGTTAATCCTCAGAACATTCAAACCTGCTTTCCACGCAGAGAATTTTTAAAACACTTCCAACTAATATAATTTAGATCTGTCTTCCTTAAGAAAGGGCGATAATCTGAAGTAATTCCTCTTTAATGCACCTACCTTCAAGTCCAGGAGTTCTGGATAATGTTAGTTCCTCTTCCCTTATCTGTTTTATTCTGTGAATTACAGACTTTAGAAAATCTGTGCTGATAATATATTCCCTATGCAGTAGTAGGAGAGACAAAAATGAAAGAAAAGAAAGTTTTTAAAAATTATGTGACGTAGCAAGCAAGACGAATACAGACAGTGCCCGAAACCCTCACTCCTGCATTTTGACCAAGCAGGCATAATTTGCACATGATGATAGAGTGCTGCTGGGCACACCCGGCTTTGTGGCTTGGAAGGTCAGGATAGTTAGTGAGGCCTGCCATAGGCTTTTCCCAGAATACAGATCTTTCACATGTGCTTTAAATGGTATTGACCTGCTCAGTCAAAAAAGCTGAATAGACGTGCGGTTCTGCATGGACCAGCTGTGCAGTAACTAGTGCACTGGGCCCTGCCCGTAATTGCTCATTGCAAGGCAAATGGGTGGAAGCAGATGCTTCTATCCCGTGCAGTATTTGTTGCCTTCAGAATCCCAGAGGTATTGGCCAAGCACTTTGCCTCTTCGCAGGTATAAAGCACACAGTTACTTAGTTTTGGCCATTCCTACTAGAGGACTATAATGATCCAGGGGCTCTGATGGCAGGAATACCTCATTAACTCGTATTTACCTTCTTGTTCCATGGGTTTCTGGTTTCCAATCCCCTAATATGAATAGGAGTTCCATTTCCATTTTCCCTGACTTGGGCCAGCAACCAGTTCTAAATTCCCTTTCTTTCTCCAAAGGTCTGTTGACTGTAGCTGACTCTCTGGTATCAGTTTATATCAGGTACTGTGTCAGTTTCAGGCTATGTCAGTTGTTTGTGTTCTTTAATTGAAAATCAGAGAAATCAGCAGTGGTTAATTTAAGGGGAATAAAAGGGCAAAAACAGAATTTACTGGAAGGCTTCACAATAGCTAATAAAATTAAAGAGAGAGCTGAAAATCCATGCCTTGTTAAAGCACATAACATAGGATAACTCCAGGGATCTAGCCAAAGTGTCTTCGAATGACTTAGTTTCCATCATTATGTCAGTTACTCATGATTCAAATTCCCAGCAGAGCCTGGTTTTCCTAACTTGAATCATCATCCCACCCCTTGGCTGATGACACAAGGTGCCTTTATTAAAAGACCCACCAAAGACTTGGGGAATAAAGGAGAAATACTTTCCTAAAAGAAAATAAGGTGCTATATTCAAAAGAAGGGAAGAGGAATGCTCAACAACAGATATCCATTCCAGAGTATTCCAGTTAAGTCAGTGTTTCTCACTGGGGAAGACCATTTGTGTTTGTGAGCTGCTGACCCAGTGCATTGTAGTATGTTCAACATCCGTGGCTACTGGTCACTAAATACCAGCAGCACTCCCACCATTATCATCACACCCAAGGCACCACTGTCTCCTGACCACTGCCATCTCCTCCTGCCCAACTCCTCTCCCTCCCCACTTACCTTCCCCAGATAAACTGTGGAACAGAGCATCAGGACCACTGCAGTGCCTGCTAAAGCTGGTCCCTAAAGCTGTTTTCATTTAAAACAATTGGATGTATTTCTGTTGCTAAGCAAAGGGTTTTTTGTAATTTATTATACTAAAATAATGTTTATTTTCTATCAAAAAGTTATTCAGTTTATTCTATTTATAAGTGATGCAGATATAATATACAGCATAGTGACTGTAATTAATAATACTATATTGCATATTTAAAAGTTGTTCAGAGAGTAGATCTTAAAAGTTTTCATCACAAGAAAAAAATTTATAAGGGTGGTGATAGATGTTAGAGATTATGGTGATCATCTTATAATAAACACAAATGTCGAATCATTTTGTTGCACATCTGAAACTAATATCTCAATTATATCTTAATTTAAAAAATGAAAAATGTCTTTTATTCACTGTCTCTAAATATCTAAACTGATGAGAGCCATGTGAAATATATAAGAAATTCATCAATTTGTTTGTTCGGTTTAGCTCCTTATTTATGGACATTGACGTTGGAACCAGACTCTGAATTCAAGTCCCAGAATTGTAGCTCTGCTATTTACTCTCAGTCACTTCCTTTGAGTTTTTACATAATCTTACTTTGGGCAATTACATAATCTCTCCATTCTTCTGTACAATGATGATAATTGTATCTATTTCATAGGGTTGTTATGAGGATTAAATTAGCTAGATGCATGAAGTGTTTAATACATTCCCAAGAGCATAGTAAATGTGTGTGTGTAAAAGCTGTTATATTTCTAAAATGGGATATTAATAATTAAGTTTAATATAGATAACATGAAAATACCTTAATTTTTCTGGGTGAGAGCTACATTTTAAAAATTAAAATGCTTTGTCTGGAAACAGGTTTTGTTATGGCATTTAGCTCAGAACCATACTTTGAAAAATATCAGTGAATTATTCATTCCTTCATTTAGTATTTATTGAATGCTTTGCCAGGCATGTGACAATTCTAGGAAGAGGGAATTCATATACTAATTCCCTAGAGGAAGTAGTAACTAAGTTAACAGTAAATGCCAGGGTAATAATTACTAATGTAATAGCTGTGGAGAAGTCAGCAGAAAGGGCTGGAACCAGGGAATGGTTTGTCATGTTGGTGGCACAGGGTAGAGGCCGGGACTGGATGGACTGTGGTCCGCTGGGCAGAGGCAACATGGGAGAGGGGAGGGTGTGCTGGAGCTCTGTGTTGTGGAGCCTTAGAGACTCTGGTAAAGTACTGGGATTATTTTTACTTTTTATTTTTTTATTTTTTCACAAGGAGTTGGATTTCTTTGTAAGACAGCTATGGGAAGTGGTATTTAAGCAGGAATGTGCTGGGTCCGATATTACATTTGGGAAAGAGTTGTTTTTGGCAGTTGTGTTAAAAGAGTTATTTTTCTCATTGAGAATGAATGGTCAAGGGACAGGTGGGACCAAGTAGACTTCAGGGGAGACGTGGATGGGAATGGGGTGGGATGGAGGCAGCAGAGGTTAAAAGTGGATGAAATCATACATTTAGGCATACTTCAGAAATATGTTGGTTTCCTGTCAGACCACAGCAATAAAGTAACTATCTCAATAAAGCAAGGTCTCACAAATTTTTTGGTGTCCCAGTGGATATAAAAGTTACATTTATGCTATACTGTGGTCTATTAAGCATGCAGTAGTATTATGTCTAATAAATGAACATTCCTTAATTAAAAAACACTTTACTGAACCCCCATTTGAGCCTTCAGTGAATCATAACCACTTTTGCTGGTGGAGGTCATGTCTTGATAACAATGAAAGTGCAACCTCTGGAAGTGCAATAAAGTGTTAAAGCACTTTAAAACAAGGTATATCTGTATTTATTTTGGAGGTAGAATGGACAGATATCGGTGATGACTTGGATAAGGAGGACAGTGAGAGAAAGGGAAGAATCACTTTTGGCTCTTGTGTACCTTTGATAGTGTGAATATATTCCCTCTGTTACTAAAGGTTTGGTTTTTTGTTTTTTTTTTGTCACTTTAACATGAACTGTTTTAAAACTTTCAATCTTCCTGGTCTCGTGGGTTTTGTTTTTGTTTTTGTTTTTTGTATTACATTCCAAGTAGTACAATGTTCTTTAATTTTTCTTGTTTAGTAAGGAGAACCTCCTTTGTTGATGTTTTTAGCATTAAACAGGCAGCATTTTATCTGTTGCTTATTGCTAATGAGGATTTAAACTTACTACTTCATAGAGTATTCTTTTGAAATTAGATAGCTGAGTGTCATCCCTGCCCCAGGGAAGTGTGAGTCTTTAAAGGCCTCCACCTGCTGAAGCAGCCCTCCCCTCTCTGCCTGGTGTGCTTCCCTTGGTGAGGTTGGCCAGGAGGCTGGGATGGTGGTGGAGCCCCTGGAGTCTATTCCCCTGGCTCTGCCTGAGGCACATGCCTACTGATTAACTCCACTATTCTGTTTAACATGTACTCAGATGTGGTAAGTCAAGTTTATGACCTATTTTCTGTCACTTAGGACTAGTATACCGTCTCAGTAATTGGAATTTATTGTATTTTCCTAAAATATGATTCCTTCTTGTGAATGAATTTAGATCAAGTATATACAGCAGTCTTTAAGCAGATTGTTCAAATTGGTGTTTGTGAAATTGTTTTCTTTTTTTGTAAGAAAGGAAGAGAAACTGGAAAGAAAATTCATTAGACAGTAATGCAGAGATTTATTTTTACACCTGAACGAGAAGCCAGAAATGCATATAAAACTTAGAACTTCAAAAACCATTTCTTAGACACAGTCTGTTATTAAATGCCCATGGATGTTTTTGATTTCCCATTACATTAAAATACTCAAAGGAACTTATTATTCTGAACATTTTAAAATAGCTCAATCTTTTAAAAAACGTATAAAGTATTATCAGCTGTGCTTTTTGTACATGATTAGCATGTGCTGTGGAGGTATAATGACTTTTAGTGTAATTATATTACTCATGATAAAAAGTTCAGATGGTAGTGATTGGAGCTACAGCTGGGTGACACATTTTAAAATAATTCAAAGATGACTCCACAGAAAGCATGCTATTTTAGTCCCTGATAATTCTCTTTTTACTCATCAGTGAATTGTGAGGGCACCAATAAAAGACCCTTTATGAAAATGTTTAATTTTCCCTTTCTTACAGATTTGATGTGTCTTCACTATCTTCTTCAGTGGTTGACATGCCACTGTGAAGGTCCCTCACTTTTGCCCCTTTTTTGAGATGGCTCAAGATTCAGCAGGCCTTTCTTCTGATTATCAGTTTTGGATTTGGAAGCTTTCTGTATGGGGCCAGGCCTCCACTTTGGAAACCCAGCAAGACATCTGCCGCCACATACATCAGTTCCAGGAGTTCCTGAGGCAAATATATGAAGCCTTGAAAGACATGGTAAGTAGTAGACCAAAATTAACGAAGTTATTTTGTGGCAGCTGGGACTCTTGACCATCTCATCAAGCCTGAGTTTGATTCAGGGCCAGGGATTTCTAGTATTACCTTGTGTATTGAAGGAGTAGAGAGATGAATTACCCAGAGGTAATACAGGCAGGAAGCAGTTTCCTTGTGTGTGATTCATTATGGCTTCATTCTTTTCTTTTTAATTAGTTATATTGTCTCATGAGACTTTTGGACCATTCAGATTGTTTTTAAATAAGCAAGGCTTGGACACTCTTTGTCAGGTAATAATAACTGGGATTCTTTTAAAGGCGTTTGGTTTTTTTAAATACTGAAATGCTTACCTTTCCTTCAACCCTGTTTTAAAGTGGGCTCTATCAGAAGATGATAAATACTAAGATCTCTTCTTACAAATATTTTAAGTGGTCTTTTCTAGTGAATATTAAGATTTTGAATGTCTTTAAAATAGTCATATATTTTATTATGTTAAAATTCAATATGTTTTCTTTTCGACATAAGATTTATTTTTATTGCATAAATAATTTTATGAATTAACATGTTTTGATATCAAAATATTTATTTTATCCTTATTGTTTAACTTTAAGATGAAAAGCAAAATTGTAATTTAACATAGGTGTTTTTGTGTTACACTTTTTTTTCCATAGTCAAACAAGCAAGTAGGAAATTTGAAGAATAATTCATGTTGATGTTATGAGTTCATACGTCTTTAGATACTATATGAAAAATAGTCTTTATGAACAACCAATGCTAATTTTAAAATTGTTTTTTCTAATAAGACTTTTGTAACTTGACCTTAAAGAGGTCCCAGAAAGTCTAAGACTGGCCTCAATGCTAAGGCAATGTGAGGAATTTATTGCTGTAGCAGTAGGAAATGCTTATCATTTCAGCTTACGTGCACATGATCTGTTTGGTCTTATTTTTGAACATTCTTTGAAAGGTAAAGAAGTAGGAAAGGGGCCAAATGTACAATAGCATTGTATTTAACAATCTTAAGCTGTTTTCTATTTTGTTGGTCTTTTTTTGTCTCAGGTTTTAGATTGTTATAGACTAATTCTGATGCTCTTTAGTATATAGTAATCAAAATAGTAATGAACACAGATATATATCTTTATCCTTTGGCTGCTTTTGTTTCTTTTTATAAGTTCCAGAGTTCTTGTCCTCCTAAACCTTCTTTGAAATCACCTTTCTGAAGCTGAATTACACACTTCTTTTATTGTGTTAGAATAAAACTCCAGGATAAAGATAAGAGATTATAGGGACATTAATCACCCATAATGCTTTTTCACTATTATGCAACCTTTGTTATTTTTTAAATAAAGTGGTGTTTCCTGACTGTTAAGTATGAGTAAAATGAAGTTAATTTTGTGACAAAATTGATTTTACCTGAAATGTGTTGTGTATCTTAGATTTCGTGACCTGGTTTAAGGACGAAGGAAGGTGGTTGCTTGTTAAACTTGATTTGAATAACCTACCTAAAGATCTTTTCTCATCTATTTTTTCTACTTAAGTACATACTAAATAAGAAGCATTTAAGCTCCTTCTACCTATAGTGCGCAGTTTAGTCTTTCTGAGTTGTATAGTGCCCTTTTACTGACCAAAACATAATTTTCTTTTATAGGATTCAAGTGCAGTCATTGAAAGATTCCCCACAATTGGTCAACTGTTGGCAAAAACTTGTTGGAATCCTTTTATCTTAGCATATGGTAAGAATTCAAAGAATGTTCTCTCAAAACAGAAACTTCTAATGATAATTTTAATCTTTGCATTGCTTAACAAAATACAGAGTTTTAAATTATAAGTCTGTCATCTGTATTTCATGAAGCAACTTTTCAAGTGTATTCATTGCTCCATTACAAAAATTGCATCCTTTATTGGTATTCATATATGTTTGTAAAGATAAACACACACTGAGCTGTAGGAAATAGAATTCCTGGCACTGGAGGGTAGAAACTCCCCAATGATTGTCATAACCTAACATACTGCTTTCCTATGTAAAATTATTTTTCAGAGTGTGAATCCTGTATTACTCTGTCATTATTTAGGGATGACAATTTGGTTTTATCCAAGGTCAGGAGGAATTTGGGGATATATTGAGGGAGGTGTTCCTGCCTATGTGTCTGGCCTCATTTCCTGTTTAGTCCTCTACAACTACACCACATGCGTTGTTGCCAGCTCAGAAACTGTGACATGCAGTTTCTTTTGTCTGGAACTCTGTTTTCATCTCTGCTCCTTATAAACCTTTTAAATCACCTTATTGGGGCTGAGTTAGGAACCTCTCTTAGTGTCTCCACAGCCACCAGCATTTTCCTTAATTGCCACACTGCACTGTTTTATAATGGTTGGTTTGCTTATCTGATGTTCTGGAAGACTGAGTACCTTTCAAGAGCAGGTACTGTGGTTTTAGTTCTTTTTGTTGTCCTAAGGTCTATGATAGGGTGGAGCAGGCACCACCCTGAAGGTGCATAGTTGAGGATTATTGCCTGGATTTGACTATATTATTAGCTAATATAATATTTACTCACTTTTCATATTTTTAGTCAAAGACTGATTTATAACATGATATCAGAATAAAAAATGTGATGACTATTTCTCTTTGATGTTTTAAAGAATTATATGATTTCTTTCTCCTAGCCCGTCATAAGTCATTATAAAGAACAGGAACCGGGTGGGAAAGGGACAACTGTAGTACTCAGTCCCGTGAGTGTCCCTGCATGGCTGCACTGAACACACTCGGGCTCACTTTCTCTGATCCCCATTTTCATCTGTCCCTCTTCCTCTCCACTTAGTGCCTCTTGCCCCTTCCTCCCCTTGAGTTCATTCTTCCTTCCCCAATCACTAAGCTTATTCAAATTCTTGATCTGAAATGGCAAACCCATCATTCTACAACCATCACTGTATTTGCCACATTGCCTATCCTATATTTATGTGTTTTAGCCATGCCAGTGTTTCTCCAACACCTTTGACCAGAAATACATTTTCTGTGCATGTGTATATGTGTATATGCATATGTTCATGAATTATTAGACACATAGATACGTACACAGGCACATGCACACAGTTCATTAAAGAATGCTCATTTTTATTATGTGCAATCCATATTCACTTTGCTGTTTTAAAAATGGTCTTCCTGGCCCTGGCTGGTGTAGCTCAGTGGATTGAGCGCAGGTCTGCGAACCGGAGGATCTCGGTTCAATTCCCAGTCAGGGCACATGCCTGGGTTGCAAGCCAGTTCCCTGCAGGCCACTTCCCAGCAGGGGATACACTAGAGGCAACCATACATTGATGTTTCTCTCCCTCTCTCCTTCCCCTCTAAACATAAATAAATAAATAAATAAATAAATAAATAAATAAATAAATAAATATTTTTTTTTTAAAAAAAACGGTCTTCTGACCCAAAACTAATTTTGCAGTCTACTGATGGGTCATAACCAAAAGTTTGAAAAATGTTGAGCTAGGCTGATGATACTGATGAAAGAAAAAAGGAGGAGAGGAAGGAAGATGGCCTCGGAGTAAGAGGGAGCGGATTCTAGCTCCCGCACTCGTGGGTGAAAACCCTGGCAGATCTATAGAAAAGCAGCACACTAACCCATCAGTTATCCAACATTTGTGAAATTAAAAGAACAGAGACTGTGTTGGACGCTGAAACACCAGAAAGCAGGTCAGTGGGGTTTTGGGGACCAGAGTAAAGACAAAGGAGCAGCAGGGGCTGGAGCCCCAGGCCAGGTGGCCCCGGTGCTGCCTCTATGGCCTGGGTCCAGAGCCATCGGTCTGAGAGCAACGCCAGAGGTGTCTATCTACCACAGGAGCTTGGGCACCCAGCGGCCCCAGTGGCCACCAGCACAGGCCAGCAGCTCCCCCGCTTCCCGTATAAGCAAAACTGGACAACACCGGGCAGAGACCTGTCTGCTTGCCGGCTTGCATTATCAGGGAGGGTTACAAAGACAGAGGGCCCGGTTCAACTGCAGACTCTGTGATCACAAGCCTGGGAGAATCCAGAGACACATTGGCCTCACGGGTGTGGTTGGAGTCTGAGCGGGAATGAGAGACAGGCTGTCTGGAGAGTTTTGTTTTGTTTTGTTTATTGAAATTGGACTGGTGTTCTCCGCCAGGGCAGCTTGGCTTGCTTCCTATCTGGCCTTGCAGCGAGCCAGGGGGAAAGTGGAGGTAGTTGGGGACTAGCCACAGGAATGGGAAGTGCCCTGCCAGTTACTCCGGGTCCCAGAAGGCCTGGTGGAAGCGGAGGCCTCTGAGCCACCACCAGGGGACTGGGAAGCCCACAGCCTGTTACGCAGGTCCCAGAAAGACGAGTGCAAGGGCGCAGAGAGTTCGGGGCCAGCGCCACAGGACAAAGAAGCTCCCTGCGGGTTTCTTGCTTGCAGGGGCGTGCGGGGCTCGGAGACTTCAGGGCCAGCGCCTAAGGTCCAGGGAAGCGCATTGCTGGATTCTTGCGCCCACTGGCGTGGAGATCTTTGGGGCCGGTGCCGGAGGACCGGGAAGCGCAGGTTGCGCAGTCCCGGACTGCCCCGGGAGTGTGCCCGGCAAGTGTGCAGGCGCCCACACCCCAACCTGGTAGCCTGGCTGGTGCGCGCACTTGCGCCGGCATCCCAGCACACAGAGAGATCCTGCTACAACTAGAAAAACCAGTCTGGACACTTTGAAACCAACAAGTGAAGGATTTCTCTGTTGTTGTTGTTATTGTTTGTTTATTTTTTTGCTGTTTGCTTGTTTGTTTTTTGGGGCTTTAAAATTTTTTTATGTTTTTTTTCCCTTTTTTTAGTAACTTTTTTGTGCGTTAGTTTAGTAACCTTATATATTTTTTAAATTTTATCACTGCTTTATCTTTCTATATTTTGTTCCTCTCCTTTCTTTTTCCCTGTTTTAGTCCTTCTCCCTTTCCTCTTAAACTCATTGCTTCCGCCTCCCCTCTCCTGCCTTTTTGTTTGATTGTATGTTGCTTCGTTTCCTTTTACCCACAAGAGACACAAACAATTAGGAACTGTGAAAGGACCAGAATGGGACCCGAAGAGGGGGCATCTCAACAGTAGAGACAGAGAAACAAACTTCACCTTCCTATAGCAGAGAAGCCACGAGGAGATGCATTTTTTCATTATTTTCACCACTTTTATATTTTAATAATATCTCTGTATTCCTCCTTTTTCTGTAGAGGCTTCTTAGTCTCCAGTAGGTATATTGTATTATTAGACAGGCTCCCCCTGTCCTTTGTGCTTTGCTAACCCTCTAAACTATACGCTCACTGTTTTCCTTTAGCACACTACCTAAAGTACTATACCCCCTACTCAGACAGATCACATAGAGATTGTTATACGAGTGCTGCTCTAATATTAGTGTAAATAATAGCTGATCTATACAACAGTAAATAGTTCACAACACATCTCCAGGATCTTAGCCCATTGTACAGGTCCCTGAACTCTATCACTGTAGTGGTTACTTCTATTTGCTCACACATCACACCTATTTACCAATCCTTACACTCACCTTACCTCAAAATCTGACCATCTAAAACCTCACTGCTTTCTAGTTACAACTAACAAGCCTTCCCTCCTCAACAAGAGGCTTATCTTTTGTCCATCCTCTTGTAAAAGTGTCAAGTTGGGCTGAAGAATACGGTTAATACAATATACACTCTAAAGATCGCCTATCTCCTCTCTACCAGCTGTGACTGTAAATATCATAAAAAACTCTTATGCTGTCATAAACCAGTTTGCCTCCTCCTACAACTGATTACACATACACAATAAAAGGAGTAGGTGGAAACGGAGAAAGAACATCAAGATACCTGAAGGTGTCTGCACCACTGAAATTCACAGGCAGTATACCACAGAGGTTCACAGCATAAACCCAGGGAGTCAGAACAGATCAATTTTAGAAGCTGAGGCCAACAAGAAGAGTCTCACAAACAATGGGAAGACAAAGAAACAATCCCCAAATAAAAGAAAAAGCAGAGGCTTCAGAAAGAATGTTAGATGAAATAGAAGCTAATCAACTAACAGATAGTGAATTCAAAGCACTGGTAGTCACGAAGTTGAAAGAGCTCACAATGAGCTACTAAAAACTACAGGGGAGCTATAATGATCTCACCCCAAACATATCAACCTGAAAAAGGAAATAGAAACTATCAGCAAGGGACAAGAGGAAATGAAGAATATAATTTCTGAATTGAAGAACACAGTAGAAAGTTTCAAAAGTAGAATAGAAGAGCTGGAGGACAAAGTAGAAAGCATCTCACAGAAAGAGCAGGAAAATGAAAAGAAACTTAGAAAGAATGAAGAGGGATTAAGAGAAATACAAGACAATATGAAGTGTAATAATATCCAAATAATAGGGATACCAGAAGGAGAAGAAGAACAAGGAATAGAAAACATATTTGAAAGAGTAATGAGAGAAAATTTTTCTAATTTGATGACAGAAAAAGTCACACAAATCCAGGAATCACAGAGAGTCCCAATCAAGAGGAACCCAAGGAGACCCACTTCAAGACACATCATCATCAAAATGGCAAAATTCCAAGACAAACAGAGAATCTTAAAGGCAGCAAGGGAGAAAAAAGAAATAACATACAAGGGAGCCCCAATAAGGTTAGCTACTGACTTCTCAATGGAAACAATCCAAGCAAGAAGAAAATGGCAAGAAATATTCCAAGTAATGAGAACCAGAGGCCTACAATCAAGGCTACTTTACCCAG